TCGAGCATCGAGCCATCAGGGGTGATGAGAACCAAGCCGGCTCTAAAACCTTTATAGTTGGATGAACCGTCGACATGTAGGCCTAAAAGTCTTTGTCAAAAAGAGCTAGTTCGGCCAAGGCATGCTCGAAGGCATCTTTAGGCTATGTTGCTTCATCTTCCAGGCCGGTTATGAACTCTGTTGTGAAGTTTGCCAAGGCCTCAGCTTTTATCGCCGTGTAAGGTTGGTAAACTAAGTCATATTGGTCGAGTTCCAACGCCCACTTCATCACTCGTTGAGAAGCGTATAAACCATGTAGGATAGATCATAGAGGATACTGAGTTATGACGACGACCGTATTAGCCTAAAAATATGGTCTGAGCTTTCAAGTTGCAACAATTAGTGCCAAAATTAGCTTTTCAATCCTCAGGGATCTTGTTTTAGCATTGAGGAGAGCTTTAGAAGTGTAAAACACTGGGAATTAGACCCCTAACTCTTCTCATATGAAGGTAGAGCTTATTACTACGTCTGAGAGTACCAAGTAGATGTATAATTCCTTGGCTGCTTCCGGCTTGGATAGTAGTGGAAAGGATGTCAAATATCTCTTCAAGTCTTGAAATGCTTTCTCGCACTTATCGTCCCACTTGTCTCTTTGCGCCTTCTTGATGGCCTTGAAAAGAGGGCTTGCATCGATCTGTTAAGCGCGAGAGGAAACGGTTGAGAACGGCTGATCGTCCTGTCAAACTTTGGATCTCTTTCAAAGTGGTGGAGGATTTCATCTCCAAGATTGCTTTGATTTATTTGGGATGTACCTTGATTCCTCGCTAGGTTACGAGGTACCCCAAAAATCAATTTGAGGAGACTCCAAATGTGCATTTAGTAGGGTTGAGCTTTATCTTGTACTCCCTAAGGTTACTGAATGTCTCTGCCAAGTTTCTAAGGTGGTCTGATCGTTGCTTTCCTTTTACCATGATGTTGTAGATAGACTTCCATGGTAACCCAAATCTGCTTTTTAAACATTATGTTTACTAACCCTTGATAGGTAGCTCATGCATTCTTGGTTACAAATGTAGTTTTCTCTTTGTCGGGCTCGAACATGGCAATCCGATTGTAGCTGGAATATTCGTCCAAGAAGCTAAGCAGTTGGTTCCTAGCGATTGAGTCCATCAAAAATCTATTCGGAGGACAGGGAACGGATCTTTCGGGCAAGCCTCGTTGAGGTCAGTGTAGTCTACACATATTCTCCAATTGCCCTTCTCTTTCTTCATTACCAACATGACGTTGGCTAGCCATGCTGAATGCGCCACTCCCTTGATGAATCTAGCTTCTAGTAACTTGTCTATCTCTGCCTTAATGATTGCTACTTGTTTTGGAGCAGAGTGTTTTTTCTCTGGATCATCGGTTTGGCAGCGGAGTCGACATGTAGATTATGGCAGGCTATCTTGGGATCAATGTTGGGCATGTCAAAGGGTGACCATGCAAAAACATCATGGTTTTCCTTAAGAAAGGCCGTGAACTCTTGCTTTTCCTTTGGGCTCAGTCGTGAGCTGATTCTAACCATCTTCTTTGGTTGCTCGAGATCAAGAATGATGTATTTGGCGTCCTTTTCTGGCTTTCAACCTTTTTCCACTGTTGGTGTGTCCTCCTGAATTCCATCATCTTGATCTGTCTGCTGTAGTTGCTATTTGGTAGTAGGCTTGTCTTTCTGAACCTCGATAGCTTCTACAGGGGTAAAGGACTTCTTTTACTCTTTCAGCATTTACACCGTGCATTGTCGAGATGTGGCCTGGTCAGACTTGATCTCTCTGACTCTTCCTCTCGAGATGGGGAATCAGATTTTCTAGTACTCGACAGAGGTTATGGTGCCCAGTTTCACTAGCCAGGGTCTTCCTAGGATCTCGTTATAAAGAGACGAGTATGTATGCTTTGAGACTACTAGTGGTGTTCTCACATCGAGTGTTATGTTGCCAATAACAGTTGAGGTGTATCCGTTAAATCTGGTAAATACCTCAACTCGGTGTATTATCGTACTTTCCATGTCTATCTTCTGAATGACGGATAACTGAAGTAGATTTATTGTGCTGCCATTGTCCACCATCATTATGTTGACTATAGCGTGTGCCAGTTGAACGGACACTACCAGAGCATCATCGTGTGGGAAGTCAACTCCTCGAACATCTTGCTTGATGAAACCAACAATGGGTTCAAGTTGGTGTCGGTTACCTGAACTTAGGAGATTGCTATAGCCTGCTAGATCTTCCTCTTCTTGGAATTGTTTGTGGCCCCCAAGTATTTGGACTCGATGAAGATGTTGATTTTGAAGGTCTTAGCAGACGGCTTCTCGTCTTTGTCTGTGTTCTTCCTCAGTTACGCAGCAGGCTTGTTCATGTATATGTCCTATTTACCCTCATTCTCCAACTTCTTTAGGTAGTCCTTCCAGGTATAGCAATTGTCGGTCGTGTGACCAGGACCTCGATGGAGCGCACAGTACTTGGTATGATCTAGCTTGGAGGTGTTTCATTTGGGTTGTCTTGGTAGCTTGAACCAAGGCTCACTCTTAAGGTCGCAGAGGATTTGGTTTATTAGGATTGAGAACTTGGTATAGTTCTTGGTAGCCTTACCTTCTCTTACTGGGGACCGGTTTGTGCATTTGGCCCTTTGCTTGCTTCAATCGTTGGACTGCTTCTTGTCAACCTTCTTTTAAGTTGTGTTAGACTTCTTCTGAGGTTGCGAAGCTACTTTTTCGGATTATTCTTGATGTTGAAGAGATGGCCGGACTTCTTCTTGATCGAGCGGTAGGATGAGTATTCCTTAACGAAAACTATGGAAAGCTTGTCGAAACTCTAGATGGACCCTGGAGGCAGGATATGGAACCAATCATGTGCCTTGCCCTGCAAACTAGGGGTGCACATAAAAGCGTCGTTGGCTCTGTAGAGGATTATCGCGTTGCAATAATGCTTCAAGTGCCTTTCCAAGTCTCTGTCTCCCTTAAATAGGATGAAATCCAGCATATTAAACTTACGCGAGGGCTTTGTTTGCTCGATCTCATTTGTGAAATGTGATTTGCCCATGTGTGCCACGTCTTTGTGAAGGGCCTCGTTTATGGTTTCAATTGCTAGAATCCATGCAATCGCTTAGTGAGAAGTCTCTCTACTTCTTCTTGAATTTGCCCCTGCAGGGCAGTGGGGCTTCCAGCTACCCCTAGTCACGACCTACTGGTTTGAGCTACTCTTCCCTATGTTCGGCTCATCTATGCCACAGTTACGATGTATGTGGTAAGTTCCTGGCAGATGAGCGGATTACTTGTAGGTTGTCGATTAAACTTGAGCTGGAATGAGCGACTGTTTCTCTCTGTCCGTCGTGCTGCCTACTTTGATGTGAGGTGGAAGATTGTCCATGTTGATTATTGGAATGTGGCCTAATTGCGAATGAACACTTAGCCTGGAAAGTTGTCCATGTTGATTATTGGAATGTGGCCCCAACCGTGAATGTATGCTTGTTCGTGGGCTTAACCGAGAGCGCACACTCCTCCACATGTTAAGATGAGAGTGTACGCTATCTCGAAGGCCCAGGAGGGAGCGTACACTACCAGAACGCTCGGTTCGTGGCTGGTCGAGGGGTTGCTTGCTAGGATGCAGCTGGAGAGAAACTTCATCGCCTGTCTTTGTCCTACTTTGGGACACCTCGTCTGGGGCACGCTGCATCTTGGTGCACTATAGGAGCTGATTCACGAAGGTAGTCTGCTGCGTGAGGGCGCTTGTCAGTTCAATGACCTGTCAGGATAGGTGTTGTTCGTCATTTAAAGTGAAAGAGCTGGGACGGTAAACGTATGCTTGAGTTGTGGAAGTGTAATGGACTCCAGGTAAAAAGCTTGAGCCAAGATGGGTCAGATTTGCAGAAAGGTAGGGTGAAAATACCCTTGGTTCAACCGTCGGCCTCGAAATTTGGATTTGGGTTGGTTGAACTGGTCTGAGACCATGCTGGACCGTCTTATGAGCTGCGGGAGTAGGTTGGGCGCATGGGCTTTAGGCTGCCTCGGCTTGTCCTGTATGGCCTTTAGCTGGAGTTGCATTGGGCTACAGCTTGCATTGCGGTTGGCGCCGCTTAGGCTGCCTTAGTTTGGCACTTGTGTCCAAGTGAAGGTGGTAGGTGTCAATGGCTACTGCTGAGGGCGAGCAGCTGCATGGGTCTGCACCTGCTAATGCTTGGGTTGTGGGCATCCTGCCTTAGGGTTTCCTTGCAATGAATGGAGGTTGCCCCATGGGCCATTACAGAGATGGCTGCCATTGCTGGCATGGCCACAGTACCTCATGGTGGCAAAGGAGTGGTCTTTGCAGAGGTAAGCCTCGAGGAGCGATGGCGTGGAGCCACGTTGCGTTCTCCATTGGTTGGTCCTTGTCCTTCAACGTAAGGGGTCCCATTGGTTGTAGTTTTTGAATTTCCTGCCATTGTCTTCGTAGATCTACGAAGGAAGTTGAAAGTGAGAGTCTTTGGATCAGAGCTCTCAATGAAAGCACGAATTTGTGGATGCAAATTTTTGCCGTCTCTTCCTTTGATGAAAATACACCTACAAAATAATAACACCTAAGATTAAGGCCAAAAACCTCACGCACCCACAATGAATGAGGGGTGGGTTTAGAAAAAAACAGGGTAAAATTGGAATTTTGTAAGAATTTGTTTTTAATGTGGGGTGTGAATAAAACTACCCTTTGATTTAGTCAAATAACCTTTGATTGCTGGAGTTAAGCCTCATGCTTCTTCCAATGTGCTCTTAGAGGAAGCACGTCTTGGCCTTATGCAAAAGTGGGACATAAAAATATTCTTGTTCAAGGGGACTCATAAATCCTTATGGATTGCACCAATGGTGTTTATTCCGTTCCTTGAAAGCTTAGATGGTTCGTTGGCTATCTATTGTTATCCATGCATGTACTCTATGCCTGCTGATTCAATAAACCACCTTATAACAATACAAAAACACAACAACAGATTAAATAAAATAAACAACGCACAAGTCAAGGAAATAACTAGAAATCCACCATTTCCAATTAACCAATCTGTTAAAAAATAGGTTCATCACACTTCTACAATAAGCAGCAAAGCAACCCTCGGAGCTCTCTCTCTCTGAATTCATGTCAAAACTCCCAACCCAATAAATCGACACCACTGATTTTCTTTTTACTCTATATACCAAAAAATGATGAGAAGAAAGGGGGAAAATTGCAGACTTAACAAAAATTTATCAATACAGCCATCAAATAACCCCCCATATAATGGCCACACAAAAATATTACACTCGGGGTGAAAGGAACCCTCGCTGGTATGCACAATGAAAACCTAAGCGATCCAAATCAACAATACCCTGTAGAAGAGAATCTCGACCTGAATAAATGGTATGCCTATACCACAGGAGACTCTTGGACACGAAAAACAAGAACAAAAATAGGAAAAATGACAACACAAACAGTCGGATCAAGGCGTATCCTTCCACAGAATGACCTGACTCACCAGACAATGACTGAAAACCAGACCCAGAATTGATGTGCCAGCTCCAGAGTTCCCCAAAATTTTGCATATTGTTGCAACTCATCAGACAACCGCTCCAAGTACTTCAAACTGAAACGTCCTTGGGGCTCACCGACAACTGTGACCACCAAAGCAACCAAATACTCTGAATGGACCGTTCTCTATATTCCCATTACTACATGAAGGGAAAAGGCAAAGAAGAGCAAGGCAAAATTGAAGCCACAACGAGTGAAGCAAAATCATGAAGCTGTGGCAGCTGCTGCCTTCTCCATCTTCTCTTTTTCAATTTCTGCTCTCCTCTGTTCAGCATGCTGTGCAACACCATTTGCAAGAGCCTGATAGTGGAAGTCCAGAGTCTGCGTAAGGCTCCGAAACCTCAACTGATCCGATGCTTGCATGCCTTCACAAGAAAAGCATAGGAAATAAGGCAACATGCCAGACATGCCATAAATTCAAAAAGTTATTAAACAGATAGCATGGGAAAGACTGTACTCATACCTTTGACCGCATCAACAAAATAGATAAAAGGGTCCACATCATCAATTGGTGACTGTAACTCCTCATCATCACTGAAATCTTCGTCCGAGTCTGAGTCATACTCATCACTAGGCCGGAAAGACTTTGACTGTAGCACCCCCAAATGATAATTAATGTTCCGTCAAAGGATGCATAGCAAGAAAGACTAAGGCGAAAAACGTGGCAAAAGAAAATATAATTACTTGAACTGAAAATAAAGAAGCTAGCGACAATCCCTCGAGGGAAGGGATGCACGGAACTATGCGCTGCATAAATTGCATGCCTAAATGGTCTTATGGGACTGTTAGGCATCTTTATTGACTTGGTACCGGGCAAGCACCAGGCTGGCCTTTCACAGCACACGTCACAAGGACTACAATAATTTAAAGGAACTGAACTTGAACAGAAGTACAGCGTCGAGAATTACCAGAAAGCCTGACTAACTTGTCACGATGTAATTTTAGTCTCATAAAGGAAAAAAGGGAAAAGAGATTCAAAATTTGGGATGAGCTAGAAGGGTGAATTGTTCAGTCAATACTAGGCATCACAAACCAGTATAAAGTGACAACACTACACATTGCGTGTTTAACTTCACCCTTAGTCTGAAAAAGATCATAAAATATAACCACCATAGGATAACAAGTATTCTCTCTAAAAAAAATTCTAATAAGAAAACAGGGCACACCTGTGCAGCTAACTTTTGAAGTTTAACGCTATCAGCTTCATCACCATCCTCGGTATCAAGTCCCATTTCCTTGTCAGATCCATCACCATATTCATCATCATCATCAGTTTGGAAACCATCCATTTCATCGTCATCTTCTGGTTCTTCCTCCTTTGCAGCTTCTGCCAAAACAACATTGATAAGTCTCTAAAACTGATAATAAAAAAACTTATTTATATAAGTGTGTGAGCCATGCTAAAAAAAGTTTTAAATTAAAATGTAAAAGTAACATATTTTCCTAGCTACATTGAAATGCATAAATATTCTCATTTCTAAATATAATTCACATTATAAATCTAAATATTCTCATTCATCAAATTAAATCACTGCCACACATTCCTCTCATGCTTTATTGTGGACAAGTCCAAGAAAGAAAAATAGAGGATTAAAAGATATTTAGTGCATATAAAGTACAAAAGCACACAACAAAAGAATGGAGGCCTGTATTAGTATATAATCTATATGGTTAAGGGGGAAAACATACCTGCAACTTGCTCCTTGTACGCAACCAGGAGATCGAGGGCAGCCCTGAAAACACGGCCCAACGCCTCCCCAGGCAACTGTTCAGCTGGGAGTGTCATTAATGATGTCAAACCCAAACAGCATACTTTTTTATCATGTTCCCTGCAATGAAAAACTCAATCACGCTCTACATCAAACACTTCCTCAAGGAGCAATACCAATGTGAGCATTCACATACAAGGCAGGTACGCACAGGGAAACAAACTCAGTTCATGGGGCAACACCAATGTGAAACCAAATTCACGAATTACCTCTTAAAATTGGCACGCACACCACTTTTCTTGATCTGTTGCAGCATCTGGAACCAAAGATTAAAGATCTCTGTTGCAACACCCAGCTTCTGCAATATGCTGAGTGCCAAAGCTGCATTATAGTATAGTGCATCGGCAATCTGCCAACAGGAAAGAGAAAACAATTAAAAACATCTCAAGTAATCATACAAATTTGGCAAAAAAAAAAAAAAAAGTAATCGTACAAAGGGTCCATATTGCGAGCACAATATATATCATGTCAGATTTCAACCAACATTCAGTGACTTCACTATTTTAATGGACTAATATAAGAGTTTCTAGGTACATGATAATATAAATCCACATTCCTATGTGGCCAAAAGCACCAATTTCATCGAACTAATTAACTGGGTCCAGGGGAAAAAATGATATGGCTAATAGCTATGATGACATAAATATTCTACAATGTTTAGTTTCCCCTAAGGCACAGATGCACTAGGCAGACATAAGACTTTAAGAGAAGATTTAAAATGAGAAATACATGAGTTGATGTCTGGCTGCTTACCACTCCAATGAGAAGACATTTCAAGTATGACTTCTCTGATCGGCGTAACCGCTCAACTGTAATTCTAAGATATGGTTCAACCCATTGATCAACCTGCCCTCTGCAGTTCTGAAAAACTACTTGAATGAGCTTTGGAGCAGGCTCAATATCACTGTCTTCCATATTTTTATCTGACATGATCTGAACAGAAGAAGAAGGATGCACATCTCATCAACAAGAGCAAAGAGACCGTATTACCATAAATTTCAATCACCATAGATATTAAGGGTCTGCTTGGTTGCCATTGCAATAAATATCTATTTGACCAACTGAAACTCAATTTAGGATCTAACCATATGAAGTGACTAACTTAATTATCACATAACTCAAGCAACTCACTAAAGTCAACCACGAGCTGTCCCAATTAAGAAGATATTCGGTCTTTAGTTCTGTCCAATTGACTTTAGTGAGTTGCTTGAGTTCATGTGATAATTGAGTTAGTGTTATTATTCATGAATTGTTCCATTCAGTAGGGGTTGCTTAAATAATATAGAAATAAAGGGCACAAGTCATATCCTATATGCATTCTTTAGTCTAACAAGAATATAAGAAATTGGTAACATAGAAGTAACTCACAGCTGCAATCATATTCCAAAGGCTTTGCTGGTAGTCTGGTTCTTTACAAGCGAGGAACTGTGCAGTCCCCCTGGATATGTAGTTATCCAAAGGAACCAGAATATCTACAAAGGAACAAATAATACAAGTACATGAGTGCATAATTGCATGAACCATCAAAATTTCCAATTACGAAATGATTTTTGCTGTTTCCCCCAAATCAATTTTGTGCAATCATGTTAAGCATTAGGTACAGTGCATTGTACCATTTTACAAGTTCAAGTGTACCAAGGGCTGAACACAGATACAACCAGGTGCTGGGTTTGTTTCAATCCTAAGGTTTATTTGGATTGGATTTTTATTGTTTGCATCAAGAGAAAATGGAAGGTTACTAGTTATACGCTAACAATAGGTTCTACCCAGAATATCCTAAGTTGAGATAATTATCACAAAAATTAACAAAAGTATAGAACATGAAGCAGGGAATCATGGAATGATACTATTTTTCATGTGCTTGTTTCATGTAAAATTGAAGTTTAAACCACAGATATTAAAATATGGGACTAACTTGGGAAGAAATCAATAGCCCATTCTGCCAATGCGTCCATCATTAATGGCCAAAGACTCCACATATCCAAAGATATTGTTGGAGAGAAAAATGTCATATACGATACGATTTCCAACACTTCTTCAAAAACCTCTGCAAGGGAAATTACAAGAGGGGTGTAGATCTGTTAGCCTTAATCAGCAATGTGTATAACACCAAGGAAAGAAATCAGGTATCTTAACCTACGATCTTACTATTGTTTTGAACTCTAATATAACAAAGATCATTAAACTAATTTGCAAAGGTACATTGTAAGTTTCTTGAATTGCAAAATTTTTTCAAAGTAGTATAAATCAAGTTGGGCATCAGAGAAAAAAAGTTTCTTTTTCTGACTTGAGGGGATTTTAAAGGAACAAAAATACCCAAGAGTTTTTTTTTTTCCTATTATTAAAAACTGCCATATAAAGAATTGATGATGTTCAGGATGGAGGATACACCCATCAAGCAATGTTCTCTTTTATATAACAGTGACCTCGATCCTGGTGAAAGGAGTGAAACATTCTTTTATATAACAGTGACCTTGACCCTAGAGAAAGCAGTAAAACATACCACTTTTTGAACTGGACTAAACAGAAGTACTAGATAGTAGATATACGACACAAAGGAATACAAGTGTCATTCAAACCTTGGCCATCAGTTGTCAACATCCTGCGCATTATAGGAAGCAAAGTCGGTTCAACTTGGACAAAAAGGTGATGAAGCCGGCTCACTGATTCAAGAATGGTGCTAATAGCACGCAAACAACCAACTGCTGCCAAAGCACCAGGGTCATCAACGTCATCATCAGCTTCAGCTGTATTCATACACCTCCAAAATGCAGCTGCCTACAAACAAGTAAACAACAGAATTATGCAAGCATATTTGAAAATGAAGCAGAAGTACTCTCAAAAAAACTGAAAAGTAAATATTACCAGATTTTGGCACAAACCAAGAGCATAAGGTGCCATTTCTTCCCCGAACTTGTCTACTATTGTCTCCAGAGTAAAGACAAGATCCTCATTCTCAACCTCATTCATGAGCTTGAAAAACTCTGCACAGAAAAATGTACACATTGGGTAAGTCTCATGATGATTGTTAATGATGCATAACAAGTTTTCTATCCACATACCATCAAGAAGCTGAGGAAGAATTGGCCGGATCTCATTCAAATCTGCACAGCATACAAAAAAAATTTACACACGGAAAAAGACTACATGAATGCAAGAGAGAGAGAGAGAGATGTAGCTATGTACCACTGCAAGCTTCAACGAAAGAGCGCAATGCAAAAACTGAGTCTACTCGAACAGGAAGTTCTGGGTCTCGCATCCCCGCAACAACACTATGCAATGCTTTACGGAAATTGTTCGAATCCGAAAATTTAATATGAGCATACTGTCCCGCGACCCAGGCTGCCTAATATTCATTTCATAATGAAGGATAAGAATGCCTTTTTAATTAAAAAAAAATAAAAAAAAAAGGGTATAATGAATACAATACATAAGAAAACTCTACAAAAGGGAAGAAGAATAAAGTACATATTATATTTAAAACTGCTGTCAAGTGTAAGAATGAATAAAAACAGAACTTCTACTCTCCTCCATTAATTTACAAAGGGTTCAATAAAACACTAAGAACACTTGCGAAAATTCAACAATGAAAACCAAAGACTATTGCACAGAAATTATCATGACTGAAGATTATTGTTATTAAGCAACAGTTGTTACTGACAAGCATCAGGAAAAGCTTTATTCCTTTTATCTTGGAATCCAATGAAGTTCATTAATACTATTATTGAAAGCTCACTCTCCCTTGCTGGACAAAGAGGCTGTCCAACATTTCACCACAAACATTTGATAATAGATTGAGGAAAAGAGGATGTTCTATGGTTCATTTAAAATCGACTTACTATTTTTACTTTGATTTTTCCAACCCATACTCCTTGCATACAGGCCCTCTCTTTCTACCAATAATTCCCACTATGGTGCATGTGCACTGTATCTATCTAATATATTTATGTCTGCGAGGGCGTACATTTCGAGTTTCTTCTAGACAAAGTTGCAAGTGATGACAGATTCCTGACTGTCGTGTAGCAAGCATGCGCCAATTTGTAAGACCAAGAGGGCTTCTTTTGAGATTGTATGGATAAAGTGAGATAAAAGATTCTTGATTATGGAAAGATCAGATATCCTTTCAAGGATCTTTAGGGTCGGTGTTCCAAGTTGATTGTAACTTAATTCTTGTACTGCTTTGGTGGTCAACCAGTCATGTAATGCTTGTTTGCATACTACCAATTCTTGGAATCTCAAGACTACCCTCTTGTCACCGTCCACCTCATTATTCATATGCAATACTTTCTTGGATGGGGGCAACAAGTCGAAAGTTTTAATAGAGATCTATAGAATACCACGGGGGTGCAACATAACCGAAAAAATACGAACAATTACTGTAAGAAATACAGAAAAGGAATTTCATGTAGCAAACCTTAGCTCTAAGATGACCAACAGGACTGCTAAACTCTGGGAATACATGTTGCACCAACATACGCTCAAGTTCAGACTTGTAGGGTTCGGTTTGTTTCAGTTTGTCGCAAAGTGCTCCAATAGCAAGAAGAGCACCATCTTTCTGTCGATACGGCTTATATTCCACTGGTGCTTCATCATACCTGCATCAGGAAATAAAAATTTTAAGAGGAAAAAAAGTCAATGTTGAATCACCAATACACACGTATCATTTTCAAAAGATCACGAAAAGCTACCTCTTAAAAATTTCCACAATGAATTGAATGAACTTATGAAGATTTTCCTTTCCACGTTTTCTAACCAACTCACTCACCAAATCCATGGAAGCCGTCCTTGGACTGTATAAGTCTTCAATGATATCTGCACCAGCAAGAAAACGAATAAACCACCAATGAACAGTTATCTTCAAGTGATAAAACAAGAGTTTGAAAACTGACCATAACCCTTCCTCACATATTCATGCGGGTCTTCATCCCAAAGCCTTAGATCATTGTCATTGAAACACATAAGGGGAAAAACAATCTCAAAAAGAAGAACATTAAGTCGAGGTTGCAGCAGATTATACATGCTATTCTTTGATATACTGCATATATAAACAAATGAAAGGAGGTTAGGCAAATCATAAGTTAATTAACACAAAAAAACAACATGGTTGTATACAGAGACTTCATATTGAAGGTTGACAGATCCAATACAACAGAAACCACTCAACAACATAAGTTTAACAAATTTTTTTCTTTAGGGATTACAACATTATTGATTAGTCACATGAAATAAGTTCACTTCAAAAACAAGGATTTCTTTCTCAGGGGAACTACATGAAAAGTCAAGTACATTTAATATTCATAGGATCACAGTAATTTTAAAATTGAAAGGAGATAATAAAATGGAAAAGTAACAATCACGTCAAACTTTCAGAATATTCATGAATAATATGCTGAACCGCATCACGGAATAGTAACAAATGAGGTGGTGCTAAGGTTCTTCAGGCTAAAAGAACCATCAGGACCTATTAGCACAGCTTTGAAGTTTTAGATAACATTATGGAACCATGCTCACAAAAATCTGGTACATCAAATATTCTAATTTTGACATGAAAAATTATCTTAGTCAAGAGATACCAGTCCTTATGGAGTTTCATTGAATTTATATTGGACAGACAAAAGCACTCAATTTTCCAAAAATATTCAGAGATGTACCACAAAACAATAATTTTACCGAAAACAAGTAACTTTTCCACATCATACATCTTAAAACCCATGCTAGACAACGCAGAGTTGAATTTAAAGCATTGTCAGAACTACTATTGTTCTCCCTTGTGCATGATTTCTCCGTGTCCAATAGATATTCATTAGACATTTGGGACCATATGAATCACAAAAAAATAATTCGGCAACACCATTTAAGTTTAGGCCACCTTACTATCGATTAAATGAAATTTAACAAAAAAGATCATTAATAAAAGAATAAATACAGCACCAGACAAACAAAATGCAGTCAAATAGAAGGGTTTAACCCATGAAAAAAAAATTGCCCACCTATTGCTTAAATACTGAAGAATGAGATTGATAACTCTGTCAGGTAAGTAGCCACCAGTTCGGATCACATTCAACAAATTTAAGTGACACTCCAGAATCTTCCCTGCATAATTCCTCTGAAACATTTGAGCAAATGCTTTGTTTTCTGGCAGTTGAATTTTTAAATCTCCAAACCTAGAAATAAAAATATTAAATGGGACAAAATGTCAGATATATGCCTAGTTCTTGTTCATTGTTAATTTGATCTAAAAGTTATTCTAAAAAAAACCCTTATCTAAATCTTTACCGAGTGTACAGCCGATTTAAAATGTGGACAGTCCATTTCTTCACTTTCCACCACCCCCATGCTTTTCTAAGATCGGGATCTGAAGGCTGGCCTTCAGAAGGAACAGGTCTCTCCAATATGTTTAAGAAAAGCATCATCCAAGCATTGAACACATTTCCATCAAATAGTTGCTTTGGAATCTCTAGCTGAAAGAGGCACCAAAAAATGATACATATAAAAGTTTGTCTAATATTAATTTATACTACTGAACAATAATCATGATTCCTTCGACCTCTATGTCCAGAACATACATATATGGATGACCAGAAAATTTTACAGATAAGCTTGATCAAATCTGCTACTTCAAGTGATGGGTTGGGTATTTGGACAAGCCTGTTGAATATATTAAGCAGAGGTGGAAATGTCTCCTCAACGATGCGATAAACTGGTGTCCTCTCCTCATCAGTTTTGAACCTAAGATTTAAAATAACAAGTTAAACTTCCAAAGTAACTCGGAAGATACATATTACACAAATATAGAAACGTAAGGCTTTCTGAAAGTTATTTCAACACTTGGAAATACTAGAAAGATGACAGCTTAATCAAAACAACAATTGTCTATGAAGATGCCATGTTGCGTAAAACTACAGATCATTTTGAAGGTTTATACTTACAGACGCACAGTGGGTTCAAGTCTCAACTACCCATTACACAAACTAGGTTAAGAATACAACTTCAACATAGAAATAATTAAAAAAAAGCTTAAAAAGTGAGAACTTGTGAATTTTTCAGCAGTTCTGATCTGCATAGCAAGTATTAGAATTCTGCACTGCATAAAATATATGCAACTTTGATACTCATTCTATTCATTTTGAGCGAATCAAATTAGCAATATAAACTGCGGGTGCGAGTAAAACAATAGAAAAAGAAATATAATAGAGAAGTAATGATATAGTAACTTGATACTGTACTTCATAAAGGTGATGACATTGATCATATTTATAGTCTTGATGATGTAATGAAAGCTGAATTAGTATTTAGTAGTGATAGGCAATGCTCTGAATTTGGAATGAAATAATATTGGCCTACAGATATACATGAACCCTAACCAACATGCACGCGTAATCCTATATTTTAATTTGGGTGGACTGAATCAACCCCACACTTTCACCACTGCAATGACAATTTCACAATGTCCAATAGTCAGTTTGCATGTCTAGATACATGAATAGACCACACACACACACACACCCACACACACACACACACACACACACACACAAAGATGGTTACAAGCACAAAAGGGTATTTATAAAATCTATTCAACATGTAAGTTGTAACTTGTAACTAAGTAAATTTGGGGAAATTTGAATCCTATAGTTTTCCAATGAATAGTAGATAGGAAGCACTTCATATAAGAGAACATATGTCGTCAATTATATAAGTCAGACTCACAAACCAACTACAGATTCAAAATCATTAGCATGCATCAGATATAAAACTAGCTAGGCTTGTAGCTTTAGCAGAAGGCAATGCAGCTGTACATAATAGCCACTATTCTAGGAATTATTTTAAAATTAGCACAAATAACATAGCGTACTCATATTTTCTAGAGAGAATCCGCAAAACAAACAAAGCTCCATAGACTTGTTGATCTTGTAAGTTATGCTTCACCCAGTCTAAAAGGCGTGGCCACTGCTCAGGGTAATCAGCATGAATAATTGTCTTCAGGCACTCACCTAGCTGTACCCTGTACAACATGACATTTGAAATTTGACATTGCCAGCAAATAAGAAGAAAAACAAAACATTATTACACAACACATAAAATTATAAAAAGCTAACAAACTAAAACTACTGAGAATGTTTATGTCTGCATTCGCAGCCATAGTGGTTTCATCTACCTAGCTATGCACACATCTCAACTAAAGTAACTGAAAACAGTGAACAAAATAGCAAGTACCTTAACAATGGGGGAACCTGTGTGACAAAGACTAAAATGTGATCCCTCACGACGTCTTTATCACTCTGTGATATCTTCTGCTGCTCATCTACATCAACACGCAAAGAATAAGCAACTGCCAACTGGAATCACCAGTGGGCTTTCGATACTAGATAAATTCTACACAATCATTGAATACCAGGATCAAGAGGTGACCAGTTCTTTGCAATGAAATTCTTGAAATGGATGCTGCCAACTTGCCGCACAGCCATGTCACAATTGCTGTCCACTATAATTTGCAACATTCTCACCAAATGCTGTGGTGTATACTGAAACTGCAATAAACAAAAACCCCATATTGACGACTCCGTCAAAGGAAATAAAGTTGTAAGTTAGAAGAAAAAAAACCTCCTCAACTATCCACTTGTCATGTTCTAGTTGATATTTAGTAGTGAAATTTCGTTGGAGAGACTAAAAAAAAGAGTTTTTCCAAATATTGGGATTGAAGTGTATCCATTAATATTATAATACGGAAAAAAGAAGAAAACCGAAAGACACACACAAAGAAAGTCAACCACAAAAACAAGTAAAGCTATCAAATTGCACAATCAAGGTCATATCCAACCATAAAAAGCCCAATTTTGCATCAAAATTACCACCACTTAATAAAAAAAAATGGCGAAACAGCTTCGGTACAAGGCATTGCTGAACGAATTTAAGCGAACCGAAGGATGTATGCACCTGATTGAGGCTCTGCTCGGCGGCGTTGCGCTCATCGGGATTGGTACTGAGAGCAGCCTGTAGTATCACAGCGACGCTAGGAAGATCCATAGCTGACGATCGGAGCTCCAATTCGGATCAAAACTCGACGATCGGAATTTGATGCGAATCAATCCAAAACCCACGAAGGGGAAAAGGCATATGATTGCGAATGGAATTGGGAGGAGGGAGAGAGAGTAGTGACTACTTGCTAGGGTTTTTAGACAAAAGTTGAGGAGAGAGACAGCTAGGGACTGTGTTGCTATTTAAAGCACTAGGGTTTACGGTTGTTGAACTAATATCGTTTCTGGAGGAGGGGTCACATACCAAAATATGAAAATAGTATTTGATTTAGGGTAGTGTTTGTAGATGCAAATTTTCATCTTCTTCTTGGATAAAATTGGACTTACAAAACAACTAAGATGGGTCAAGGCCAAAAGCCTCACGCGTTCACGATGGATGGGGGCTTTAGCCGAAGAACCTCCAATGCCAAAGTTAAAATTTTGAGAAAAAAATGTTTGAAAAATTTAAAGAATTTTGCAAGAAAGTACGAATTGAGTTTTGGAGAAAATGAGATGATACTTATAGAGGCGTGGCCGGCCCTTTGGGAGGATGGGGACTGGCCACTTAGATGGTTTTTTTCGGTGAGATTCATGATTTGTTAGCTAATTAATAAATTAATTGGATAATAAATCAATTAACTAGCTAATTAATATAATTAGAAATGAATGATTTGAGGGTTACCTTGTGAAGAAGATTTGATGAGGATTGATAAAATAGGTTTTGAGAGCAGTTCCACTGGGGAACTGATAAGCCAGCACCCAGCCAAAAAAATGGCCCGGCACCCAGGCTTTCCCCTCCAACCCAGCAGATAGGCTGGCACTCAGCCTAAGCCAGGCAAGAGACTGGCTCAAAATCGACATATCCAAATGCCGGGCTATCTGACATCAGCCGGGCCAACCGTGACAACCTCCGATTCTGACAGAACAATGATAAACAAACCCAGAAAGCAACCCGGCAAACCAAGAAAAACCCATATCACAATTTGCAATACCAAGCTCAAGAAATTAATTTTCTAAAAAATTGGATAGAAAAAGGCCACCTTCCAATAGAACCCATGAGGAAAAACTGGTTTTTGTGAGATTTGTTGGCTGTTTGGTTGATTTTCCGGGAAAAACCAGCTGAGGATGGAAAAGGTGGGTCGAGGAACCTTACTGCTGCTGCAGTGTTTCATTTTTTTGTGGGGAAGACCGGAAGAGCTCGTTAAATCCGAATGGGGAGAGAGAAAGAGAGAGAGAGAGAGAGAGATGCAGAGGGAGGTTCCAGGGAGCGGCGCGACAGGTGAGGTTTTGAGAGGGAGTGGGAGTGATGGATTGGGGTTTAATAAAATTGATAATATTTTAATAAATTAAATTATTATTTTATAATAAAAATTGATAATATTTTATTAAAATTGACTAGGCTATTAAGTTTTAGGGGTGGAGATGCTCTTGGCCTATTACTGTTTATTGGGGTCTATCACTGTTCACTGAGTGAATAAATGCGCTAGGTGCTGGCGCAAAGTCTTTAGGAGTGGAATTGCTCTGAATAAATACCTATTTTGGGCTCTTTTGACTTGATTGATGGATGATTGCCCACTACTTGAGCGTAGAAATCTCGGTGTGCCTCGAGGGTAACTTTGTCCTCTTGACCTAAAAATCCACTTGTCGCCTCCATATTCTTCTTGATTATTTTTGTGCTCCACAAATGCCCCCACACCTATTAGGTTGCTTGCGGGAAGAGGCAGCAGGTGTAGTGATCTTCTTGCTTTAGGAAACATATGATTGTTTCCTATTTTGATGTAGATTCCCTCTTTAATTGGAAATTAGATCCTTCTAGGAAAGGGAAATAAATCACTTCTAAAGTCTATTTAAGTCTACCTTAAGTAGATGATTAAATCAACTTTAGAAAGCAATTTATTCTACCCTACAAGAGAGAGAAAGTTGGAAGATATTTGTTCCCCCTCCCCGTGCAAAGGATCGTCTTTCATTGCTTTCTTCATCTTCTCCGCACCGCATCGAGGTAAGAAAAATTTAATTTTCGTTATCTTCTTCTTAGATAATGCTGTTGCGGGGCAGCCGTAGGGGTGGTGCGCCATGTTGGCTAGCAAGGGCGAGAAGTCGGCTCGGCATGGGTCGAGAATGTGTTGTGGTAGGGACCATTGCTTGGGATGCTTGGCTTGGCGAAAGCCAAGGGCAGTTCGTGCGATTGGGGCCTCGGATTGAGGCGTTGGGGTGCAGTGCTAGGCGAGCCGCATGGCTCATGTCTTTTGGGCTCTTGGACCTAATGTTGGCCAAGCCGACAATTGAGAAAAATGAGGAGGTCGCGAGCCTCATGGGCTGCTGGAATGCTGGGCATGCAGGCCTCCTGCTTATTGGTCTAAGAGAAAAAAAGAGGGAAAAACCAGTATAGGTTGAGCTCCATTACTGAGTACTGTGAATGGCGTTGGCTGCTTAGTCCTCTTCACCGGGAGAAAAGTGGGCTGCTCACGAGAAAGGAGGTAAAGAAGATCAAGGCGGATGCATTGGCTCGTTTGATCGCTGTCGTTGAGCCTACTGTGAATAAAGGTGGAAGGAAGAGATTTTACCCACCTGCTCAAGAGATGCCGTTGAGAAAAAACTGAAGACTTCCTCCGCTGCTCATGAAGGTCCAGCCTGCTGCCGAAAGGCCTGTGATTGACATGACTTTTTTCAATGGGAAAAAAAATAAGGTTGCTAGATCTGAGCCTGTGGCACTTGCCATGTCAAGAATGGCTAGTACGATTGTTGATGTAATTGCTCAACGTAGAGGTCCTGTCATGCCCGTAGTGTCGAAATCTATACCAAGACGTCCGTTGGGAGCTAAGTCCAGTTCACCTTTGGAGAGGCTTGCTATTATGAAGAGCGATAAGGTAGACTCTGCTGCTAAAGTGGTGCCCAGGCCCACTTCTCCTGCTGTTAAGATTGATTTGCCTGCTGGGAAGGAAAAGAATGCTCACGTGGGCAGCTGTGAGAAATCCATTAAGCCTGCTTCTGGGGAGGCTGTTGAGATCTGTGCGCTTTTGAAACCAGATTTGCTTGAAGACATGGATGCTTGTGCCAAGTTTGTCGATGGCCTTAAAGGGGTTGTTTGCCCAAGTTCCTTTGCGAAACATACGACCGAGTATAGGAAGATTGCCCTACTTGCCATGATGCAGAAGACGGCTATTCTGGTAGCCGAGTCTATGCTTCTTGACCAAAAGGATACCAAGGCTGCCAAAGAGGTGGCAAAGGCTGTGTCGGCCGAAGCTTATTCTTGTGTTGAGAAGATTAAGAGGTTGGAATTTGAGCTCGTCAATTTGAAGGGGTTTCATGCCTCTACCCTCATTTCTCTGCAACTTGAGACCGTTTGCCAAGAGATTGTTGACTTGAAGACTAGGCTTGACGCGATCTAAGTTAAGTATGAAAATGCAGAGAAAGAGATCGGGTGTTACATACCTCAGATTCAAGATCTTGAGCGTGCCGTTTCTGAGCTTCGTTTCACTACTTAGGCAAAGGATGAAGAGTTGATTGCTACTTATAACCAAGTAATCCACTTCAAGAAGGTCGTTGATAGGCTTGAACCCCAAGTGTTAGAACTCCAAGATGTGTTGGAGATTAACAAAAGTTTGAAGAAAGAAGTGGATGAGGTGCAGCACTTCCATACAGCCAAAAGGTAAAAAGGTTGGGTTCGAGGCTCCATTTGTTCAGAGTCAGGCTGATTTCTACAAGTTGGGTTATGTAGATAATCTCTTTGGTAGGCCGTTTGACTCTGAGTTTGCTGGGAGAGACTTCGAAACCTTTTCTATTTCTCCAGAAGACTTGCTTGCCTTTAATTTTGAGGCCTCTATTGGTGAAGTAGTCAAAGAAGTTGGTGCAACCAGGGATGAAGCACTAGATGGTGTCGTTGCTGAGGGTGCCGCGACTGCTGAAGGTGTGGCGACCGAGTAGTTGTGAAGCGTTTAAACTACTGAGGAGTAATCTTCTATGTAGGCTTTAGGATTTTCTTTGTTTTCCTTGTTGTTTTTGCTTTGCTTGAACTCTTTCAGTCTTTACTAATTGTTTATCAATTTTGCTAGAAAATTTAATAAACTTGCTTCCTTCGTTTTTCTCCATTTTTGCTTCTTTTGTACATGCCCTAACCAGTGGCAGGCGTGTTACTTTTCTATAAAGACAGGCCCGCGTAGCCTATGCAGTCGTAGGTGTTGGTGTAGAACTTTGCAAAGTTGTTAGCTATAAGGGCGGCAGCTGGACGCCTTACTTACAGAAGCAGACAAGTTCGCGTGACCACTAGGCTGTTAACATTGGCTTTCTCCAATTCCGTAGGTTGCGTAACAAGTATCACAATACTTTAGGACTTGGTGTAGTCGTTCTGCTCTTAGCAGAGGGGAAGCTTATCGACTACGTAGCATGTCGGCAGTGGATAAAGCTTTGTATATTCACGTTAGCTTGTTTACAAAAATGTGTTGTTATATAAGTCTAGCGCGGCTTAACTGCTCGAAGGGTAAGCTATATGTAGTCTTCCAGAAATCGTAGGCTACCTTAGTGCACTCGGTAGTAGCTTTAGGGTTCCAGGGTAGCTGTCCATAGGGCGTATTGCATAATGTGCCTCATCTGTCTCCGAGGCCCGATTCCCTACAGATTAGGCCAAAAGGCCTAAAATCCTTCAGTTAGGTAAGCCTTGAAAAAGACCATTGTGGCTACTTCTAGGCATCCAGCACAAGCCATTATGCACCTAGTTATACCAGGGCAGCCTGACTCATCCATGTCTAGATATTCGGAGTATAAGTTTATCCTCTCGCCTTGGAGAGCAGACGCATGTGAGTGTAGGGGAATTGGTTTACCCTTTCACACTGGAGAGCAATTAGTTTATCCTTTCGCACTAGAGAGCAGACCTAAATGGGTGTCGGGGAATTGGTTTACCTTATCGCACTGCAGTGCATGATTGGTCCTTCGGGGGGCGCAATTCCTACGATGAGTCCCTAAGAATGGCGTGGTTTTCTTTTGAAGTGCAGGAATGATCAGTTGTTGTAAGCATGCAGCCGAGCCAAGTTGTAGATTACTTATGAATTCCTGATTGAAAAATGAATGAAACGAACGAGAACTTATCTGTAAGGTAGGAACTGCATAACAACTGGATAGTCCTTAGTTTGTGATGTGTTGCCCGTCGAGCTGCTTGAATCTT